AATTCTGACATTTCTGACAACGAATAAATAAGTACCGAGACGAAGGATCGCTTTTTACTATGTCCTAGTATATATTTTCTATTGAATAAATCGCAACGCGATCGAGAGATAAGAGCGCAAGAAGCAACCGAACCGCGTTGTTTCGAACGAATGACTGTCAGAGGAGGAAAGCGTGGGTGGTCTCGCAGGTAGGACAGCAGCACGCGCGCCTACCACCGAGCGCACCCAACGCGCCTTTGCGCGTCCCTTTGGCGCGCTTCCTCCCTTCGCACGGCCTCGGCGAACCTCGGCCAGACTCGACTGATCTCGCTGACGCTTCGACCAACTTCGCCGTTCTCTATCATCGCTTACGATAAATTTTCCCGTAAAATACAAGATTATCGTTGGAAAACGATTATCCATCGTCGCTATAGAATAATCGTATAGAATCCTTACGAGGAGCTGGACGTTCTACTCCTCTTCTTTCTTTCGTTTAACGAGCGCGATCGTTCGTAAAGACGTAAGGAGTCGCTGATTGGTCCCCGCTGGAACGATTCGGCAAACGGGTTCATTGCGGGCTCGGTTGAAATCTTTCCGGATCCGTAGAGACCAAAAGTCCCGAGGATACGTGACTTGTTGTCACACGCGTATATGTGAAAGACGAAAAGACGAATCGCGCGGAGGACGCGCAAGTTCGCATAGACCGTCATTGCAAACGTATACGATAAATCGATATCTCGCTCAAGGAAAGCCGGTTTGGAAGAAGGATAACGACGAAACGTTCGTTTCTAATGGTATTCCGTGGTATTTAACTAACAAACGTCGCGGTTAGTTCAACGTCCTATCCTCCGTTGACCCACTTATACCTATCTCCACTTTCCGATCGATCCGTTAGCGCAAAAATAATCCAACTATTTCGTCGGAAAAAGACAAGGAAAAGGGGCGGGAGGGAGGGATGGATAGATGGATGGATGGATGGGAAAGGTCAAAGACCGAGGGAGAAAAGTCCTTCGATTCTCCGGTACGTCATCGAAAATACGTTACTTCGATTTGCACGCTTTTAAAAGCGTGCGAATGGTATTCGCATTCCGAATTACACAAGTTTAAATAAAATAAGTTTGCCGGGCTGTCGGTTCGAGGTTCACACTACACGGGGGACGGCGGAGTCGGACTTTGACCGACCGAGGCACCGAGTAAAGGGCGAAACGGACCGAAAGAAACGAGGAAAAGGGGGAAAAGAGAAGTAATCGCAAGTACGTCGTTCGCGTCGGCCGAGAGAGAATCCAGAGGAAGGAGCCGGCAAGGAAAGGTTGCATGTTTATTCAAAGCTATCTTATATCACATTTTCATACTAATGGACTCGTTCAACTGTCTGCCGAGTCCCTCGCGGCTGACGTTCTCTCTCTTTCTCTGGCCGCTCAACAACCATCGCCATCCATTTGCCACCATCCCCATTCACTCGCGCGGACGAGCGAATTTAACAAACGTTATACGAGCGCGGTAAATAAATATTCGTCGAGACGAGTGTGCGTAGCCACGTCCGCGGCGATCTATTCGCTATTTACTTATCGTCTTCCACGTAAACGCATTTTCGACGAAAGCTTTTCGAAATTCGCAGCGGGCATCTCTCGGGAACCGATTAAACCTGCTCGGTTACACGAAGACGCGTCATTCTCTCACGACTCCGGTGCCCGCGATTATCGCCGTAAATTACAAAAAAGGCACCGAATTGCTTCAACTTGCGAGAAGTACCGAGAGCGAAATAACCGAAGGTTCCCCCTCCTCGTCGCCTTCGTTACGAGCTCTCGCTACCGAGGGTAACGCCTACCAATCCGCCGTTTTCCGACCTTTCCCTGCGCCCCCCCCCCCCGCCATATCCCCTTTGCCAGCGCGATACGCGTTTAATTCTCCCTCTCGGAGCGACCAACCAAAAATGAATTTTGCCGGCGCGCGGACGAGCGATACCTAAAATGACCTGCTTTTCTCCTCTCTCACCCTTCCTTCCTTCCTTCCTCGTCGTTTACTTGCTTCGACGACAACGAAAATCGTACTCGGAAAGCAAATTTTTATGTTGAAAACCCTCGACGGGAAGCGAGTCGGCAGGAGATAGAACGTACTCGTGCGTGAGCGAATACCATTAAACGCTTCGATGAAATATGATCCTTTGAGGGTGGCCGACGTCGAATGTAAACATACTCTCTTTTTTATTCGGTCCTATTAATGCGCCCAGAGAAACGCAATATAATCGGGGAGAACCGGGGGGAGCTGATTTATGTAGTCTCCAACGGATAGACGATTAAGAGATGATTAGTTCCGACGAAAAAATAACTTTTCTTAGAATCCAATCGATTTCAATGGCGTAGCGCGTTTAAAGGAAAAGATCGCTGGTTTAGACCTTTTGATTTTATTTGATTACAATGTCAACGCAAACCGTAGTCGGTCGGTTCGACTTTGTCGTCGAATCGACTCCGTCGTCTTCGTGTCGAAAAGAGATGCGATCGTGATCGTGATCGAAACGTTCACGCGAGACTGGATGCGAGCGAAGGCTCGCAACGAGACAACGATTACGCTATAATATAGGAGAGCCTTATCGTTACGAAATCTTGAGCCGACGTCGCACGTCGATATTTACCCTTCGTTTATTTACTTTAGATCCCGTGTCCTCTGACGCGAGGAACAAACGCAAGGTTAAAGAACGCTTTTACAAAAGAGAAAACTCGAAAACTCGAGCTCTTTGAAATCATTCCTAGCTTGGAATATTTCATGCTCGTTGTAATACATATCGAACGACGATAAAGGCAAACTTATTTCTTTCGCGCTCGTCCGCCCATCGACGATAATGGAAATAGCATAATATTTTGAAAAACAAAGGGAAAAGCTCCGGATTAAAAGCATCCGACGGCCGTGTTACTCTTTGTCGAATGAAATAACGCGTAAATAACGAGCAAAGGGACGAAACGTATTTATTTACCGACGTTGCACAATATCATTCAATATCGTACTACTTGACAAATGTTTTTTTCAACGTAATCATACAATATATTTTCTACTTGAGATCGATATATTTATATATATATATATACATATATGTGTGTGTGTGTGTATTCGGAGAATATATACGCTCCTCGGTAAGAAGCGTTTACTTCGAAGATCGTTCCTATCGGGCGACGCAGTCTCCAGGATTCGGAGAACGTCGTTTTCCATAGGACAAAGGACACCCCGTCCTCGAACGAAACGATCGAGTCCCCGAGCTCAAAATAGTTTTAGCTACTACCAGGGCCTAGTATTAGGGGCCATTACAAGACACCACCTCTCTGCGCGCTACGCAATATCTATTCTCGGTAAATTTTCAACAAGCATATGGCAACGTTTCTATCATCACTATCTATTTGATCGGAAAACAAACTCGATGCATCTTAGAGATTATTATCGCCTTGCGTCTATTTGGACGATCGCGAAATTCGATTGAAATCGTACCAATCTATTTTACTTTATTTAGGTGACGATTCGAGAAAAGATACGCTACGTTTATCACTAATAAGCACGTCGAGGAGGATAGAAAAGGTAAAATACATAGAAACGTGAGTACCTAAAGCGCTTACAGAGTCGAAGGACGCATCTGAATAATGTTCGAAGGGGCGGGTACTGACGTTTGTCGTGGTGGTGCCTAGCGTGCGATAACCCCAACGATCCTCTCTCTCTCTCTCTCTCTTCCAGCCTTTACTCTCGTTCCAGCCTTGTCTCTCTTCATTTTGTCGTGGTCCCAGTTACCTTAGCTTCCCGCAACGACTCATAATTGTCCGCACTGGCATATTGCAAGACGAAAGAAGCGAGACGACACGAAAGTAGTTTAGCGAATTCCTACCTATCAAAGATGAAGGGGGAAAGAAAGAAGGGGGAGCAAAGGAGAGAGAGAGAGAGAAAGAGAAAAGAGGGTAGAACAGGGAGGAAAATCCTCCTCAGTCTGGTGAATACTTGAATATTGATTAAGCATGCATATCGCGATTACTCGAGTAAAACGACCTCTTGCTTAGACCGACGACGACACTGCGTGTCTCCGGTTATTTATATGAAATCGTTTCACTCTTTTCTATTTTTCCGTCTTCCGTCTCCAGCGAGCGGACACGACGCGAGCAAACGAGAAGAAGAGAGGTTTAAGACCGACAACGGTAAATATACATCTATTCTTATCGCGATCGTTTCTTTCCTCGTTTTCTCCTTCGGATTCTCGAGAAGACAAATGAGAAAAAATAAGAGAACTTTTTTGAGCATTTCATCGTTCGTTAAGTAAATCGAATTAATCGACGTTCGCTTTGAGAGAAAGGCGGACGCGGGGAGGACGTGTAAGCGCGACTCTGGCAGATTGGCCGTTCTCCTTTCCGCGTTGTTGACGAGACGACGAGAGAGAACGAGTACGGAACGAAAGGAAGGGAGAGTGCACGAGACTGCGTTGTGCTCGTGAAATAGGAGCAGGGAAAAAGCTCTCGAGTTTTTGAATATTCAGTAGGTACGTCCTGCTTGCTTGCTCGTCGTCGTCGTCGTCGTCGTCGTCGACGACTCGCTCGTAGTTCCGCACCTTCCACCTGACCCTATTTTTATCAAAAGGGGAGAAAAGTCTGTGTCTTTCGACACTAAAACGACAAGAAGACGCGTGTGTCTCTACGAATCAGAGCAAACTTTTTAATAAACTTTCCTCGACATTTATTTTCTCAAACTTTACAATCTCTTACTACTCCCCCCCCCCCCCCCCCGAGAACAACTTTACGTTCGATTCGTCCTACCGAGATAGATACGATATTCCCTCGCTCTTTATCGATCGATGTTACCGTCGATAATGCAGCTTCCTTTATTCTCTTCTACGACCTACGACTCTCTTCGACCGACCGTAGATAACCTCCTCGATCGGAGGATAAATTCCTCTTACCGTTCATGTTTTTCTCTCCCTCGCTCCCTCTCTCACGGCCCTACGGTAAACCAGTTTTCTGCAAAGGAAACTATATAAGAAAACGTTCGATACTCACCGGGATAATTGCAATTGTGCTCGTCGCTTCCGTCTTGACAATCCTCGACGAAGTTGCAACGTTGAGATTCCAGGATGCACCTTCGCACGTCGCAAGCGAATTCGCCAAACTTGCAGCCTGCGAGACCGCACAAAGACTTTTTTTAATAACGTCGAAGAATCGTTTAAACCGGTGCTTTTTAAAACTTGTTCGCCACACATATAGGTGTATGCGGCTGCATATCGGTGATGCATATCGCGAAAAGAATGTTTTTTTTTTTTTTTTTTTTTTTTTCTACCATTTTGCAATATAAACATGCATAAATGTTTAGCAAAAATCATATACATATGTACAGGGTATATAACATTTTCGAAGCGTCATTTTCGTCGAGAATAATTACAAGGAGACGACGAATCGTCCAAACGGTTAAAATATATCAAATCATTGTGTGTTGAAATTCAACGAAAGATCTCGATATTAACGTTTGATTTTTAACGCGCATCGCGAATTATTCACGCGGGACTGGCCAAGAAATAACTATATATTTCGTATAGGACACGTCCCTTCCTCGTACCTGGCGGCGATGCCAGGTTTTTTTCTCGATCCTTCCGTAGCTATGAAGCTAGAGTTACGCGTAGAAGAGATAATATCGCGGCTCGTTTGGACGATTAAAAGGGTCCGCTGGTTATACCTGAATGCGGACATCCTACTTCATCGGCCCCGTCCTCGCAATCCGGCACGCCGTCGCATCGCTGTACGGAACAAATATAACGACTTCCATCCTGACAGCGGACCACGTCGTCGGCGCGACATTTGTTCGAAGCTGCCCTCAAGGTCGAATCCTCTTCCTCTCCTTTGGCTTCTTTCAGGTCCTCCTCCCCAGTGTCGGTCGGCTCCTCGCCCTCGCTGGTTGCCTCCGTTGGCAAAAGCCATCTCTCTTCTTCGCTCTCGCTAACGTCTATCGCGTGTCATATCGCGATATGACATATGTATATACATACATACATACTCGCGCGAAACGCAAAGATTCGACAATTCTGCATTCAGCGAGTTTGGCGGACAGATTCTCGTCCTGGTTCCTTCGCGTGGCCTCTCCCTCTCTTTCGCGACTTTCCCAACGGCGTGCATATGTGCATATATGTGTATATATATATATATATATATATACATATGCATGTATATATAAACTATTGGCTTCTTTCTTCGGCGCGATTTATTGAGAAAGAGGCACGCGACGCAACCAAGAGCGAGAGCTCGGCATGGAAAAAATATTTAAAGCCATTTGTCTTCGATTAATATTAATGATGCGCAGTTAGGAGAATCAGTTGGGCGAATGAGTTATAATACGTTCAAATAGGATTTTATTTACCCATCGAGTAAGTTATCCAATGCTCGGATAGAAAATAAAGCGTTAACTCAAAAAGAGGAAAAGCTGTAGAAATAGCAAATGCACAAGATTATAGAAGGGCCGGAGGTTCGATACGAAGCGCATCTCTTCCTTCCTGACGGCCCTTATGACGATAGAGACATAATACTTACGCGTCGTAGTCGGCCGTAACGTAGAGTGACAATCGACCTCGTCGGATCCATCCTCGCATTGGTCCGTGCCGTCGCAGCGCGAATCTAATGGCACGCATGCACCGTTTCTACATGTTAATTCGCTCGATTGATCGCATTCCGGTAATACGTTTTCCATTCCTGCTCATTGGTGATCATTGGAACGCAATGCCATTGCCGTCGTGGTAGTCAAAAATTAAGAAAAGAAAAGAAAGAAAAAAAGAAAGTAATAAAAGGAGGAACTTTAAAAAGCGGCGATAAAGAAATCTTATGCGCAATACCAACTACGATACTCTATGTGCATCCGCGGTGCATGATGTAACATTCTTGACGTTATCATAACGTGCTTTCTCTCTCTCTCTCTCCCATTTCTTCGGATGGAAACGATCCATTCTTCGAAAGAACATTTTCTCTATCTCTATCTTTACGTGGGTTAGACATTACTGCGTACCACGTACTTACGTACTACCATAATACGTACGACGTATGCAATAGTTGGGAAAACTTTACTCTTTTGCCAAGCGCGACCAAGTACGACGAAGAATCGATCATTTCCTAATGCCGAAACGTGCTCTTTTGCGGAAAAAGTTACCTAGAAAATGTCGGAAAGTGAATCCCTCCGGACCAACTTGGATGCTTCCCAAGGAATGATACTGCAACTGTTTCTCGAGTATATCCCGTACCTCCAACTCGTCCGTGAACGTAGAACCAATGTCGAGTGTGACTTGTGACGTAAACGCGTCGGACGTTGGCCTGAAAATAATATATTATATTTTTCGTCTCGTCGCTCACTCGTCTTCTCTCCACCTCCTACCACCAAGTATAGGTAGTATGTATAATATACTTACGATATTTTAATGACGTTGGCCATGTGATCGTAATTGGGAATATGTCGAGCGTATAGCTCTTCCAAAGCCTGTGTCAAATTACCGCTTAGCTCCTTGTACTCCCTGCTCTTTCTGTCGGCGTACTCTCTTCTGTAAGGCTCGCCAACCGTCAACGTTATCCGATAAAATCCTGTCGAAACGATCGATTCGATCACGTTTTATGATCCTTAAACGTTCATTTATCCTGTCCGTTACACAGCCGACTATACCGACTTTTCTTCGGAATACTACTTACGGGCCTTTCCTTCGATCTTTTGTCCCTCCGTGACAGGTTGGGAAACGTCCGAGTCCGTTGCGCTACCCTCGATCTCGCCTGAAAGGAAAAACTCGGCGATGCTGAGATAGCTCGAACAAGATATATATATGTATATATATATTTTTTTTTCTATCCGTATATACAAAGGGAGAGAGAGAGAATATTTTTACCCGACGCCACGAGGTCCTCGTCGTCGGAATTGACATAATTCTGCGGTTGTCTTCGCCCTTCCGCCACGTCACCGATCTCGTTCTCCTATCGGGAGAATAATTTTTCAACGAATTAATCAGATATATATCGTCCTTGTCTATGAAAATTTCAACAATTTCAAACATTTCGCGTTACCTGCTTATCGTCGACGTACTCCTCTTGACTATCTCGAATCAATCTCTCCAAATTCGGACGGGTTTTCTTTGATTTCGTAATGTCGGTATTATTCGTATCGTCGATCTGGCCAACGGTGTCCTCGTTTTTTCGAAAGTCTGAAAGAAAAGAAAGATGAATTACGAGAGAAACGATCGACCCAAGTGTGTACAGAAATAAGGATCGACTCACTCGTCGGCGACGATAACGTGGTACCGATCGCTGAAGTGGTGGTACCGTTGTCGACGTTAGTATCACTGGTATTGGTAGTAGTAGCGGATACGAAGGGATCGAAAAAACTAAAAAACGATCTCTTTATCCTATGAAAGATCGATTGCTCCTCGTGTTTCTCGATCAACGGAATTTCCAAGCTCGATTGTTTGCCATCTTGATCGAAAACCAAGTCATCGTTCTGAAAAGAATCAGAGTACAAATCTTTGGCATAAATTGGATGAAAAAAACGTGGCGCGCGCCTACACGTATTCGCGATTCGTTGCATATCCGATACGTTATACTCTTACACACACGTATGTGTATAGATGGCATAGATGGCAGACCATGTACATTCGCGTGTGTACGGCTATTGTATATATAGAGCTATCGCGAAGCGTTCTCACGTGCCCCTCGTAAAGAAGCAATTCTCACCTAAACACGCGATATAAATTCAGGATCGTACCCGGCATTCTCGTCGGGCTCGAGAGTCGGGTTCTCTCGTGAACCACGCGCGCGAGTCGTGTGAGCCGTGCGATCCGTGATTCGAAAGCCTCGACAGGCAACGGGCAGCCAACTGGCCGCTCTCTCTCTCTCTCTCTCTCTCTCTCTCTCTCTCTCTCTCTCTCTCTCTCTCTCTCTCTTTCTCTCTCTCTCTCTAATCGACTTAACCGAACGAAGAGGACGATTTACCCCATCTACGTGTACCGAAACGAGATACGAAGAAAATCTGACCTATCGTTATGGAGACGCAACAAAAAAAACTCGTGAAGCTGACCGAAAAGGAATTTGCGTTAGTTTATGCGCTAAAAAAGAAAAACAAAAAAAGAAAAAAAAAAGAGAAAACGACCAAAGCCGATTCCCTTCTATAGCATCCACCGACCTAAAAGTACCCTTATCCGTTTACGGGGTTGTAAGGGATCCGAACGAGCGAGCGAGCGAGAGTTACTGACTTTAACGAGGATAATGACACTAGACGACTTATTAATCGTCGCTCGTGGCACACCGCGTTCTAAACTCGGAATTTATCGACTAGCCGACGCTACTTGCGCTCGGATAATCGAATCAACGTCGAGAAAATATATATTTAATGGATTACGTCCGAGCTCCTCTCTTTAGATCGCGACGCATCCTTTTCGATTATATTGCTGCTCGATAAAAAGGAACGGAGTATAAGCGTGTATCGGTTACTTAAATCGACCCACTTAGATCGATCAACTTTAATTTAGACGATCAAGATGATTCCAGGGTAAGACACGTAGAGGAGACATGGGCTGGAGGGAGGGGTATTGGTCGAGTTAAAATACGTTATGGAGGGGAGCACGTATTAGGAGACGTACGGGAGAAGTAGGGTGAGAAATTTGCGGAAATATAAATCTCCCGAAGAGCGCAGGGTATACTAGCTCGGTGGAAGAATAAAAGAGCCGAAGGGAGAGCATCGCATCGGGAAGCATTCGAGCCGGCTAGACGGAACTTTGTTATTCCGGCCAAGTTTTACACGGGATTTTCGAGCTAAGTCCACTCTATGATCCTTTCGCGGCAACTACGTGCTCATACTTCGACAAAACACCGCCCCTACAGTCCGAAATCCTTAAAATGCATGGGAAATACGTGTCCGCGCAGGTTAAGTGCCCAAAGGGAATTCGTCCTGCGTCGCTAAGGACCTCGAAGAGAGTCGAACTGAGAAAAGAAAGTAGAGGGGTCGGGCGAGAGGGAAAGATTTCGCTTCTACGCGCGCACCACCACCCGCGTTGTTAATATTTTTTGCGCGATTTATATACATACATACATATACGTACATACATACATACATACATACATACATACATACATACATACATACATACATATATATATATATATTATTTTTATTTGGATTTATCTTTACTGTCTCCTCCTCCGAGGGCCGTCATGGAAAGTGGTCGAACTCGAGCGATTATTACTCGAGTCTCCGTGCTCGATCCGTTCTCGATAACGATTTCTTTATCGATCGTTCGCCGAGCGAGCGTGTTACGCGCGAAACAAACTCGCATCTTCAAACGGATCCCATATTTAGGCCATCGCAGTTTGTTCGCTCGGTCGATGACGCGCACCTAAGATAAGAGACATTCCATCCTTCTGATATCCACACCTTTCTCGAACTAAACAACGCCAACGATACGATTCTATTTTGTAACAGCTGCAACGTGCTCATTACGGCGAGCGTCATTATGGACGAACACCGATTAGGTAATCGAATCGACGACGGTGACCCGTTTTCACGTACCTACAATAGATGGAATAACACAACGCATCGATGGATGAACTTTCTCGTTAAGCGGTACCGCGGACGACCTACGATAATTATTTAGGTAGTATCAAAAAGGAAAAAAAAAAAAAAGAAAGAAAAAGAAAAAGAACCTCGCAACTTTTCTCGATGATGAAAACCGCGGAAGGTCGCAAATCGTCGGCGAGAAAAAGTAATTTTCCCGATGTTAAAAGGATAAATTTCGATAAGAAAAGCAAAGAACGGGTGCTATCTCGCGCAGTCGCACGCGCGACAATGAGAGGCGCGAGGTCGTTAAACCGCGAACGAAAAAGAAACCGTGACTCATCCACGGGAGATTTGCCCCCAAAGAAACGAGAGGTACTCGTGAGAGAGTAGTATTCGCTTCTAGATGTAACTATCGCTCGTTACATTGGAAATACGATATGTTACATTGGAAAACTCTAAATCTTTGCCTTTTCCTAGAGAACGATACGCGCCTATATAATAATTTCGCTAAAACCTTTAGAATTAATTAGAGCGAGAGGACGCGTTTCGTCGATCCGTAGGCTGGTTGCGTGCCTACGCTACACGTGGCAACGCATATTCATCGTTTAATTTATCTCTCCTCCTTCCACATTTCTATCACGAAAATGATGTAATTGAGATGTAAGTGAGAGCGATTTGTGGAGAAAAGTGGAGGGGAACGAAAGGAATAATCAACGGATTTCTTTTCGCTTCGATCGCAAATAATCGCGCGCTCGCTCGCTCGCTCGCTCGCGAGAGAGAGAGAGAGAAACGACGACTCGCGTATAGTTATTATAATTGGAGCTTGCAATCTGGCAAAAGGTCAAGGCGAGTAACGTCGATAACCCTGGCCGGTACAAATGTCCTACGCATGGAGCAACAGAAATTTGCAAAAGTTTCGATTTGGATAAGTACGATGATTTTCTTCGTATTACGTTCAAAGGAGATCCTACGCGGAATTCCTTTTAATTCGCTCACCCTCGTTTTTTTATAAACGAAAATATTTTTAGAGAAAGGGGAAAGGAATATAGAGGAAAGGAAGGAGAAAGGAAAGATATTGGTATGAGAAAAATATGAAGAGTACGAGAAAGAGAACTCGAAGGCGCGAACGCGCTAGAGATGGAAGGAAGAAAATCCCGGCAATTTGAGAGACCTTTCGACGGGCTTCGAGTTAACGAAAATATACGGTCGGTCGAGTGTCGAAGAAGCTCTCTCGGAGGCCAAAGCTCCGAGGCGGCTCTCGAAGCTCAGTGGGTGGAAGAAGCAAGCCGACGTGCCCATGCTTCCCTGAGGGGGACAGAGAGGGGAAAGGAGGAGGAAGGGACCCAACGATCGTCCTTTGTCTTAAGCTATGGTATATTAATGCGAGGAACACGTTAGCGAGGTGAGACTCGCTAGAAGGCGACGGAATACTAAATAGCGGTCGCACGCGGCGGCGAATCCTACTCGCGAGTAGAAGAAGAGCGTGCGAGTGGCGGGTCCGGGGCATCGTTTAACCGCGCCCCTTTGCATTTTAACAGCCTCTCAACGGAACAACGAGCTCCTCTTCGTGTGCACGAGAAACATCCGCACGCGCGAAAAATTTCCCTTCATCCACTTTGACGTCGTCGAGCCATCTTTTCTTGAATGTCGCACACGTACCTGTCGCTAAATTTTAGTAGACCGATTCGGAACGTAGCCCTTAGAAAATATCTACCTCGTGATACTCTCTAGTCCCTCTATATATCTATCTATCCATCTATCTATATCTATATTGGATTTATATCGGGGAAAAAAGGAATATTACTTGTGTATTTATAAGTCGAGTCGTTGTCGAGTGTCGTCCGAAAAATAAAGAAAGATGTCGGCCGGCTAGGGCGGGGGAGAAATAAACGACACGTGCTATTTCCCAAGCCAGAACGGGAGGAGAGAAGAAGAAGAGGAGATTTCCTCGAGGATGATCTTATATGAAGTTTCATATCCACAGAGAGATAGAGATGGAGAGATATGTACCAATGAGACAGAGAGGCCAAATATCAAGCGGGCAATCCTCTTGGACACCGCATTTTCCGCAAGGCTCCACGCGAAATTGCGGAAATCACGTCGGTCTGATTTCCCGAGAAAAATGTCTCGCCTGACTCGTACCGGCAAATCAAAGATCCCTCAGGCTACGATCTGCCAGTCAGAAGAGTCACTGTTCTCGCTGATTACTCGCGAGGACGCTTTTCTTTTTTCGCATTCGCAAAATATCCGAGAAGGGATAGAGGAGGAAGCTCTTTTTTCAACTTTGCATTTACTCTCGACGTAGCTTGTTCGCTTGTTCGTTCGAAAATAGACTCTTCCGGTCTATTTCTTCGTCTACCCGTTCGAGCGCGCGCGCTCTCTCTCTCTCTCTCTCTCTCTCTCGCGCGCGCACGACGCGCTTTGATAAGGAAGGAGAAAGCCAAAGGTAGTTCTCGCCGAAGCTTTGAAAGCTGATATCCGAGAGCGACGATCGATCGTCACTTTTTTCAAAGCTCGACACTTTGTTTTCACTGTAAACGCGCATAGCCGAAATACGGCCGTTGGTCGCGTTTTATATCTAAGTACTTGGAAAGTACATCCCACGGCCGGTAGTAGGTAGTAAGGCTTACTTTTCTCTCTTCGATCGTTTCGTTGAACGAAATCCGACCGCCGGCTAGCATGCGCGCTAAATGCTCTTTTTTGTTTTTTTATATTTTCGACAAAATTACCGTTTGCCAATTACGATATGAATATTATACAATAGGATCATCAAATATCTCGGCGTTAGTACGTACGAGAAGGAGGCGCGTCGTCGAGGATATACGTACGATGGGCAAAGATTTCCAATCGCCAATGAGAAATGGAAATATGTATACATATATTTTTTTGACAAACCGCGGCGCGCCTTCTTCTTCTCTTCGAGGGAAGTTTGTCGATTCTAGCGCAAA